CAAAAAAAAAAAAAAAAATGTGTAGGTTTGGATTATTTTTAAAAATGATATCCTATAACGTGTAGTTTTCAGTATTGTATGGTTTGAATCAGGGAACTGGCCAACTGATTGCTTGTGGTAAGGTATGAATAAGAAATATTTTCATTTTGTAGAAGGTTTTAAAACTATTACACCTTAATCTTCAGATTAAAACCAAAAAAAAAAAAAATTAAACATATCTGATTTTTAACTTAGCCATTGAATGAAACTCATTAATTGATCATTTTGAAATCCAGTCATTTCCAAAATTATGAAGCATTAAGGACATTTGGGAGTCAAAGAATTTGCTAAAGAGAGATTAGCAAAAATAAATAAATGACAGGGTGAGGAGCCGTGGGAAAGGAAGAAGAGAGATACAGGCAGCAGGAGGAAGGAAGAAATACAAAATCAGATGTGGGAGTACAGGGGAAAGTGCAAATGAAGCAAGACGAGAACGTTCTCAAGTGTTCATAAACAGTTCTCACACTGCCAGTTAGTGGGAGGTCGACTTTTCTGTTAACTTCCATTTACAGTAATAATTTTTTTTTCATTTGTAGAAGCAGTATATAGAATTTCCTTTATTCAGCTTTCCTGACGGTTAAATTTTTTTTTTTTTTTTGAGACAGAGTCTTGCTATGGTGCCCTCGGTAGAGTGCAATGGAGTCATAGCTCACAGCAACCTCTAACTCTTGGGCTTAAGTGATTCTCTTACCTCAGCCTCCCAAGTAGCTGGGACTACAGGTGCCTGCCACAATGACTGGCTATTTTTTGTTGCAGTTGTTGTTTAGCTGGTCCAGGCCGGGTTTGAACTTGCCAGCCTCGGTGTATATGGCTGGCGCCCTACCCACTGAGCTACGGGCACTGTCATGATGGTTAAAATTTTAACACACTTAACTTATTCATTCATTTTCTCTTTTTAAAAAATTTCTTTTACATATGTATCTATGTAATTTTTTTTTTTTTTTTGAGACGGTGCCTTGCTTTGTCACCCAGGCTAGAGTACAGTGGCATCATCATAGTTCACTGCAACCTCAAACTCCTCAGCTCAAGCAGTTGTCCTGCTTCAGCCTCCCTAGTAGCTGGGACTACAGGCATGAACCACCGTGACTGGTTAATTTTTTTCTTTTTTTAGTAGAGTGGGGGGTCTCACTCTTGCTCACACTGGTCTTGAACTCCTGACCTCAATTAATCCTCCCATCTCAGCCTCCCAGAGTGCTAAAATTACAGGTGTAAGCCACCATGCCCAGCCATATCTATGTAAAATTTTTAAATGAAATGTCTTTAGTTGTAAACATTTATGCCCCCTGCCTCTAAATGTTTGAAAAATGTGTATTTTTCTGAAAATAAGGACATTCTCTTATATAACCAATAGTACAATGATTAAAATCAGGAAATTAACATTGATGTAATACTATCATCTAGCCTACAGTATTCAGATTTTGCAGTTTGTCCTACCAATATCCTTTATGTGCTCCGGGGTCACATAGTTCATTTAGTTGTCATGTGTCTTTAGTCTCCTTTAATCTGGAACAGTTCCTCAGTCATTCTTTCTCTCTCCAGACCGGGACCTTTTTGAAGGGTTCAGCCAGTTATTTGGTAGAATGCTTCTCAATTTGGATTTGTCTGATCTCTTGACTAGATTCAGGTCATGCTTTTTTTTTTTTTTCAAGAGAGTCTCACTTTATTGCCCTCAGTAGAGTGCTGTAGTGTCATAGCTCACAGCAACCTCTAACTCCTGGGCTTAGGTGATTCTTTTGCCTCGGCCTTCTGAGTAGCTGGGACTACAGGTGTCCGCCATAACACCCATCTATTTTTTGTTGCAGTTTGGCCAGGCTGGGTTCGAACCTGCCACCCTTGGCACCCTACCCACTGAGCCCCAGGCACTACCCTAGGCCATGTATTTTTAACAGGTCTTGGAGGCAACATTTCTTGTTAGTATGTCACATCAGGAGCACACTAATCATTTGATCCTTATGGTGGTGGTGACTTTGTGATGTCTGTCAGTTTCTCTACTGTAAGTTACTGTTTTTCCCTTATAAGTTAATGTTTTGTAGGTGGGTAGTAGAGACTCTGTGAATAACCTCTTTGTCATAATACTTTTTCTGTTTTTATTACTGCCCCACACCCCCCACCTTTATTAAGTATAATGGGCAAATAAAAATTTTACATAGTCAAAGTATAAAACATGATACTTTGATATGTAAGGGCTGTCTGGAAAGTATCCAGCCATGTACTATGAAAAATACAGTATTAACAGTGGCTGGATATTTTCCGGACAGCCCCTGTACATGTATATTGTGGAATGATTCTACAATCAAGTTAATTTAACACAGCCATCATCTCACATAGTTACTTTTTTTCTTGTGGTAAGAATACTTAAGATGCACTCTCTTAGTGAATTGTGTTTAATATATTATTATTAACTATAGACGTCATGCTGTGCATTAGGTCTCCAGAATGTATTCCTCTTAAAAGTATAAGTTTGTGCCTTTGACCAACATTTCTCTTATTTCCCCTGCCACACAGTCCCTGGGAACTACAGCTCTAATCTCTTTATAAGTTTGACCTTTTTAGATTCTACATTTTTGCGAGGGAGGTTTCAGTGCTTTATTTACATTCTGATTTATTTAAGACTATTTAGTTGTAAACATCTAAAGTTACACAAATGCCATTTTGTGGGATTGCACAGATGAACCAGATCCTTATTTTTTAAATGTTTACAAGTATTTTTATTGCATATGTAATTTACTTAATATGATATACTTGGTTATTAAAATCAGA